AATTTTATTGCTAAAGTGACGATGTCAAAAAATAGAATGTTCTTGATCAACATACAAAATGATGTTGCAAAGTGCCTGAAAGCTTGCTACAAAGATGCATCATGGCTTTGGCATCTTCGATTTGGGCATCTCAATTTTGGAGGTCTAGAGCTGCTATCTAAGAAGGAGATGGTGAAGGGACTACCTTGCATCAACCATCCTGACCAGCTTTGTGAAGGGTGTCAAGTCTGGAAATAATTTAGGAAAAGTTTTCCAAATGAGTCAGAGACAAGAGCCAAGAAGCCACTCGAGCTCATCCATACCGATGTGTGTGGACCGATCAAGCCAAGCATTCTCGGTAACAGTAACTATTTTCTTTTCTTCATTGATGATTTTTCAAGAAAAACCTAGGTATATTTCTTGAAAAAGAAGTCAGAAGTTTTCAAAGTCTTCAAGAAGTTCAAAGCAGCAGTGGAGAGAGAAAGTGGTAGAAAGATCAAAGCCACGAGATCCGACCGAGGTGGAGAATTTACTTCCAGGGAGTTTCAAGAGTTCTGTGAAGCAAATGGAATTTGTCAACCAATTACAGTTCCTAGATCCCCCCAGCAAAATGGTGTGGCAGAAAGAAAGAACAGAACAATCCTCGACATGGCACGAAGCATGCTCAAAAGCAAGAAACTACCCAAGGAATTTTGGGCGGAAGCAGTAGCGTGTGCAATCTACTTGTCAAACCGATCTCCAACAAGAAGTGTATGGGGAAAGACACCGCAAGAGGCATGGAGTGGAAGAAAGTCTGGCATTTCCCACTTGAGAACCTTTGGAAGTATAGCACATGTTCACGTACTAGACGAGAGAAGAATGAAGCTTGATGATAAAAGCGAGAGTTTTATCTTCATCGGCTATTATACTAATTCGAAAGGCTACAAGCTATACAATCCAGACAATAAGAAGTTTGTGATTAGTCGAGATGTGGTCTTCAAAGATGAAGGAGAATGAGATTTTAACTCTCATGTAGATGACTTCAATTTCTTTCCTCAGTTTGAAGAAGATGAGCAGACAATGAGGGAACAACTAGGTGAACCTCAACAAGAACCTAAACAAGAGCTTGAAACTCCACCCACTTCTCCAACATCAACCACTCAAGGAGACTCATCACATTCGTCATCGTCAAGTGGGAGTCAAAGTGAAAGAGTTGTGCAGCGTACAAGAAGCCTTAGAGATCTCTATGAGGTAATTGAACGACAAGATAATATTACATTATTTTGTCTGTTTGTTGATTGTAAACCAGTGAGCTTTCAAGAAGGAGTACAAGAAAAGAAGTGGAGAGATGCGATGGATGAAGAAATCAAGGCCATCGAGAAGAATGACACATGGGAACTTACCTCACTTCCCAAGGGACATAAGGTGATAGGTGTCAAATGGGTGTACAAAACAAAGCAAAACGCCAAAGGAGAGATTGAAAGGCACAAGCCGAGGCTAGTTGCTAAAGGCTATAGTCAAAAGGCTATAATTGACTATGATGAGGTATTCGCTCATGTTGCTCGATTGGAGACTATCAGACTAGTCATTTATTTGGCAGCTCAAAACAAGTAGAAGATACAACAGATGGATGTAAAGTCTGCCTTCCTAAATGGAGTTCTTGAAGAGGAAGTTTACATTCAGCAACCATCAGGCTACGAAGTCAAAGGGCATGAAGACAATGTGTTGAAGTTGAAAAAGGCTCTTTGCGGGCTAAAACAAGCACCAAGGGCATGGAATAGCCGAATCAACAAGTACTGCCAAGAGAATGGTTTCAACAAATGTTCCTACAAACATGCTCTATATATCAAGATCAAAGATGGAGATATTTTGATTGTGTGCCACTACGTGGACGATTTGATCTTCACCTTAAGCAACCCAAGCATGTTTAATGAATTCAAGGACGTGATGATGAAAGAATTCGAGATGACAGACACGGGGCTCATAGCGTACTACCTTGGCATTGAAGTTAAGCAACAAAAGGATGGAATTTTCATTTCACAGGAAACCTATGCAAAGGAGATACTGAGGAAGTTCAAGATGGAGAACTGTAAGCCAATAAGCACACCGACAGAATACAGGATCAAGATGTCCAAACATGAAGAAGGAGAGAATATAGATCCAACATTCTTCAAAAGTTTGGTGGGAAGTCTATGCTATCTAACTTGCACAAGGCCCGATATTATTCACGCAGTTGGATTGGTTAGTCGCTACATGGAATCTCCAACAACCACCCATTTTAAAGCCGCAAAGAGAATTCTTCACTATCTTAAAGGTACAATTGACTTCGACTTGTTCTATTCAGTTTCTAATGATTACAGCTTGTTAGATATAGCGACAGTGATTGGGGCGGAGACATAGATAATCGAAGGAGCACTACTGGATTCGTATTTTCATGGGAGATACTGCTTTCACATGGATGTCAAAGGAACAACCGATTTTCACATTGTCCACTTGTGAAGCGGAATATGTTGCTGCTACCTCATGCGTTTGTCATGCAATTTGGCTTAGAAATCTATTGAAGGAGATAGGTTTGATACAAGAAGAGCCTACTAAGGTTTGTGTGGACAACAAGTCAGCCATTATCTTAGCAAAGAATCCAGTATTCCATGATCGAAGTAAGCACATCGATATTCGCTACCACTATATAAGGGAGTGCGTTGCAAGAAAGGATGTGGAAGTTGAATACGTGAAGTCACAAGATCAAGTTGCCGATATTTTTACCAAGCCATTAACAAGCGAAGACTTCATATGATTAAGGAACTTACTAGAAATCACAAGATCAAGTTTAAGGGGGGTGTTGGATCATAAACTTGATCCATTATGGGAGCCTAAACCCAAACCCAAACTAAATTGATGTCATTGCTTACGTCAATTAGATGAAGATGTCATTGCTTACATCCATTTAATTAGGTGAGAGTTAGGTATTTAAAGACTTTAATGGTTTAAATTATTTTATTTGTATGGTGTATGATTGTTCTTGAGTAGTATAAATACCCCTCCCCATTTTAGTTTAAGCATCAAGAAAAATTAAGAGCTTCTAAGTGAGTGAAGAAGCAAAGTCTTATAAGAGTAAGTTGCAGTTCTTGTTTTTGAGTGAGAGTGCTCTTGTAATATCTGTTTGAGTTTCAATAAAAATTGTTTGTGTGAGTGTTTTATTTCCAGCAGGCTGATGGTCCTTGGATCGTCTACAGTCAGTACTTAACGGTTCAACCTTGGTCGCTGAATTTCCGCGAATCTCAGCCATATCTCACTACCGTCATCGCTTGGATTAGGTTTCCCGGTTTACCAGAGTATATGTATAACAAGAAAATCCTTACCAGCATTGCAACCTTGTTGGTGTTGTGGCGAAGCTGGATTTCCATAAGGATACCAGCCATAGAAGAAGGTTTGCGAGAGCAGCTGTTTACGTTGATCTTATGAAACCTTGAGTTTCGAAAGTGGTGATAGGGGACAAGATTCAGATGGTTGAGTACGAGAACCTCCCCATTATTTGCTTCTCCTGCTGATGTTTCGGACTGTTAAAAGAGGCCTGTAAACCTATCTCTCAATATCAAGTTCCAAATCCCGCTGGCAAGGAACAATCCCCGAGCATGAGTCAATCATAAGTCTCCGTGACGAATGGTAAGTCTGAAGCTACGGGAACCAGATCCACTAGTGAGGCTATGCTGATGCCGGAATCTGAACCATACGGTCCCTGGATGATAGTCGAACGGCGTCAACACCGACAAGCATCAACATCGGCGAAAAGAACGGAACAAATCAAAACAAATAATGCAACAGGATTACGTTTTGAGGCTCTTAATGACTTAAGTCGCAAGAAAAGCAAGTCGGCGGTACAAGCTGTAGGAGATTTGGGAGATAATTCTGGCTTAAATCTTGTCAACTCAATTTCCTTACCTAGTAAGGAAATCCTCTCGGCCAACGGTTAGGTGAACGTCACTGTCATTGATAATCCCAGCCAACTTCACGGAGGTAATCCAGGCTGTAAGGTTCAAACCAAACGTTTATCCCAGAAAGTTTCTATCCTACCGAAATCAGCGCCATTCATTATGACAGAATCCAAATCCCTCAACACGGTGCCAGGAACTACCATTAATGAGATCCATCTTGGCGGGGCCCATGGGGCCATTGACGTGCATGCAACTGACGTGGTTAATGCCATGCAACATCCTACGTCTCCACAAACCAGCAACCCGATTCAGTCGGACGTGGTAAGCCTCAATGTTTCCAACTCTTCTTCAAACACTAATCCCATCCTTGTTAATTCTTTAGGAATGGAAGGCCAAACGATGCAGACCTCCTTGGACTTCTCCAACCACAAATCCATAGCTTTTAATGGCCACGAGAGTTCTAATGGACAACCGTTCATCGGCCAGTAGATTCCTTCCACCTCTCGGTGTTCACTTGGTTTTAAAGACAGGGCAGCACCTTATGTGATCCGGAATAAAAGGTTGAAAATCAAAACCAAGACACAAAATACTCCCTCGATTCAAGAGGCCATAATGCTACAATCCAGAATATCCAGGTACAACTTCAGGTTCAAGACTCTGAAGCAGGTTCCAACGTTAATGCCGAGGGCATTAATCAATAAAGGTACCGACCTCCTAACATTTCTTATGGATTTTACGCTGATGACATGGAATTGTCAAGGTTGTGGTGGAGCTAGGTTCCTGAAAATTTTAAAAGAATATACCCAGGAGTACCGACCTCACATGGTGGCTCTTTTGGAGACTCGCATCAGTGGCCGAAAGGCCGATCAAGTCATTGATAAAACCGGTTTCAATAAGTCCTTTAGAGTGGAAGCTGCCGACTTCTCAGGAGGCATTTGGATTCTTTGGAACAATACCCTTAATGTTAACGTGATTGATGCCCGTCCCCAGTTTATCACAGCTAAGATTCATGGATCTAATTTTTCTACTTCTTTTTTGGTGAATATTGTGAATGGCAGCCCTGCATAAAAGAAGCGCTTGGCTCTCTGGAAGGATATTGGCAATACGCGAATGGGTAAAAGGGTGCCTTGGATTCTAGCAGGAGACTTCAACTCAATTTTGTCTAGAGACGAGAAGAAAGGTGGTACTAGTCGTCGTAAGGGATGTACTTCCTTTTTCAATTTCATGAGTTACCACGCTCTTGTGGACTTGGGTTTTAAGAGTCCCCAATTCACTTGGACGCGGGGTGGTGTCTTCGAACGCTTAGATCGCATTGTAGCCAACGACGAGTGGAACAATTTTGCTTCTTTTCCATGGTCAATCACCTTCATCGCATTGAATTAGACCATCGGCTGCTTCTTCTTCACGCAGCGGGTTCTTCTCCTAAACATTTGCCAAGGCCATTTTACTTCTTAGCCGAGTGGACCAAGCACGCTCAATTCAATTCGTTCATCCAAGAGAATTGGTGCAGGGAGGTAATATTATTAACTCTTTAAATAGTATTACTATATCTCTCAATGTGTGGAACATGGACATATATGGCCATGTCATCCAGGAAAAAAGAAAGCTGAAAAGAAAACTTCTCACTATCCAAGTGGAGATTGACAGGAATGGCAACGATCGCATTTTTGATAAGGAGCTTGAAATTCGTTCTAAACTCGAAGAGATACTAGACCACGAAGAGCTCCTTTGTGATAGGGAAATGGTGGCGGGTTAATGAACGTTGCTCTTGTTGAAGAATCAAACCTAGAAAGCTCTAGACTCAATGAAGAACAATAAGGAATGGATAGGGAAGGTGGCATCAATAGCTAGGGTTCTTTAGGGTTTCTTTTAGATGCTGGAAACAAAGTAAGAAACAAGATTAAAATAAGATAAACAAAAGATAAAGGAATTTGAAAATAAAGTAAAATAACCAAGAAATCAAAATATCTCCCTTATGAAAGTGAATGGTAAAGATGATTGATGGCGTGGATGGATATGTGGAAAATCGATGGATAATGTCCTATCGAGACCTCCTAGTCGCAATAAAAAGGCAAATACGATAATATGGCTCTAACCAACCCTCCTAATTGCGATGAAAAGGCAAATTGGAGTGTGAAGATTAATCTCCCTCACAAGAACTTGAAAGAACTCAAGGAGAAGAAGCTTCGAAGGCACAAGGCAGTCAACACTTGCAAAAACGAACTCTCGTTGTATTATTAATCAAAGAAATCTTAATTAAAAAGTTGAATGAAGCCTCATTTATATAGGGACTGAGTTCTAAAGGTCCTAAATAACTAATGAATAAAATAATAATAAACTAAATATGTCTTAACTCTAATTCCTAATAAAATAATAATAACTAAAATAATATTTTAACTCAACCTTAATTCCTAATAAAATAATAAATCTAATCCTAAAAAATAATGCATCATCCTATATTAAATTATATTACAAATAATCAATATAAATATTGAAAATATGTAATATTTACAAAATCACGTATTAATCTCGTATAGGATTTTCTGCATGCACCGTCTTCAGTAAAATGACCATATATTGAGTTTCCGATATTGGATTGAAGTAATTCAAGAAGAGGTAGAAAGATAAGAGATAGAAGGTCGTATCTTTAGAAGACATGTTAAACAAATAAGATCAGGATCCCATTTGAAAAGTCGTCGTAAGTATGCTATTTTTCTGGTCTTCTTTTCCAATGCTTGGACGAGTGGATCATTTGGAAGAATTATTACTTCTTCCTTTGATGTGAGCCATGTGATGCATGTATCATCCTCCCTTTCTTCAAAAATATTTGACATCGAATCTGAAACATTAAAGGGAGCAACATTAGATTCGTTTAATGATTCATTCATATTGTGTTTATCGAATATATATGCTTTGAATCTTCGAGACTTGGTTCTTCTAATAGGTTCGAATAGAAATATTAGTCCAGAGAAGCATGTATTATGGACTCTGGTGCATGTATCATTCCCCCACTTCTCAAAAGGATTTGTCCTCAAATCTGAAAATCCAAAAGAAATATAATTAGATGTGTTGAAAGAAAAACTTGTGAAACATTTACTAGGATCAATGTGATGTGTCTTTATGCGTTTTAGTCGAGGTTTCTTATTTGTAGGAACTGATTTCTTGTAGTCTTGAAATCCTCTTTTGCATATAAGTCTTGTAATTTGATTGTTAGGTTGAAATTCAACATGGCGCCGATCGCTGTTGGCTTTCTGTATGATTGCTTCAGATAATTTTTCCATGGTTTTATTTGTGTGTGGAGAATGAGTGTTTAAAACCCATGTCAACTGGTTTGTTAAAGTAATCCCTTAAGTCTCCTAAGTGTGGTTCTGAATTAATAATTCTCGGTAGGAGATTTGTGGATTGTAGAACCTGTTTAGCTGGCACGAAAAATCATATACAAGATAAAGCTCATAAAAAGAACTTTTAAAAGTATGGGTAGAAATATCAGAAATATCCGAGTTATCATGATATACATCTTTGATATGTTCAATTCTCAGAATAGTAGTATGCTTAAGAGTATACCTTCGTGGCAGTGCATCGTCTATTATGTTTTGCTTACCTCAGTATTTGGACTCTCGTAAATTGTGACTCTTTATTGATATGTCATAGTGATTAGGGCTTTCAGGTGTTAACCCGTCAGGAGGGTCACCTAGAACTATTCGAAAACTCTTGGCAATTGAAGATGGTGTGGTTCAGTCTCGTGTTGCTTTTACTTTCTCATCATTTACATGGATTCCCTGTGCACGAACTATAAAGCATGTGCAGTTATTCAAGTCATGTTTCGTCATTAAGATGGTGTCACGACTAAGGCTTTCCTAGATGTAGTCTTTTTGTAACAAATCTAACTCTTTGGTTTCTTCGAGATTGTATGTTTAACGAGGTGTGATGGAACCTTGAATTAGATTGGTTTGGTGTTGTTTTCCTCTTTCCGGTGGTAATGCGTTAGGTGGATCAACTAATATTTCTCAAAAATACTGTAACAAAGATGAAAACACACTAGGCAAATCCTTGTTAATGTTAGAAATTGAAACAATTGATTCTCTAAAACGAACAAGGATGAAAGGTTGTTTGTAAAGAAAGTTCTCTCTCAATTCTTTTGTGCTCACACATAGATTTTGAGTCACTCTTTTCTTCTCACGATTACGTTCACTCACCTCCCATGGGTCATTATTCTTTTGGCTTTTGTAACAAGTGGCCTCTTTTTCTTTTGCCTCTTTCTCAGCTTTTTCTTTTTTTTTTCTTTCCCTACCTCCTCACAAATTATCATTTGATCTTTAGGGGCTGGAAGTGTGTCATTCTTTGTTGTTCGTTCTTTCTCCTTGTTAGGTTTTTCATCTCTTGGCTTTTTCAGAGAAGATGGAGTAGAAGATGAGGAAGGATTTGAAGGATTACCTTGGTAAGAGGATGAAGTACCTTGGTAATGTTCTCTGAATCGGAATCTCCTTTGGATTTGTGCTTCGATTGTCATTGCTTTCTTTAGTGTATATTCAAGGTTTTCGTGCCCATGGGGGTCAAGAAGATCAGTGATGTTTAAGTTCAAGCCGACGATGAATCTTGACACGGTGACCTCTTCTTTTTCGGTTATGTTAGCCCTATTGATTAAGGACTGCATCTCCTTGTAGTAGTCTTCAACTGAACTTCTACCTTGTCTAAGTCGGTGTAGTCGTAGTTTAACTTCTCGTGTATAATGTGTCGGTAGAAATCACTTCCACATGGTTTGTTTGAGGTCGGTCCAAGAAGCGATTGTTGGAATTTAGAAGTTCTGGATCTTTTTCCTTGTTTGCATCCACCAAGTTCGAGCATATCCTTCGAATTGTATGGTGATGTGGGGAACTTGTTTATCTTGGGGATAGTCATGGTATGCAAACATGAGATCAACTTTTCCTTCCCAATTGATGTACATGTCTGGATCGTTGTCTCCTTTAAAAGACGAGATCATGAACTTGGTTTTGCAAAGAGTTTGGGTTCTTGGAAACGTGGTTGTTCTCGCCTGGGTACCATTTGGTCTTGGATTCTGGTTTGATAGATCCAGTTGTGGTTCTTATCATTCTCTCACGGTATTGGTAAGTTCATCAAATCTTTCAATTTGAGTCGTGATTCATGCAAGTGTGGATAAGATAGCCGTAAGTGTCTTGTTGTTATTGTCTCCCATCCTGAAATCATAACACTCGAAAGAAATTTTTAAAGTAAATTAAAAATAAAAAGGAAAATTCAACACAACAAGAAACCTCACAAGTCACTCCAAGAAAGTAACACAATGAGAGGCAAGTAAGCCGATCTTGTACTCTTTAAAACTCACTTTACTAAGTAGTCTTCCACAGTTCGTATCGGAGTTTGATTACTAGCAAAGGCGATAAGAAAAACCTAAAAGCTCTAAGAGACCAAACAAGGGTTAGACTCCAAGAGAACGAGAATGAAAATAAGGAAGAAGTATGTAAACTCTTTAGTCCTACTAACACAAGAAAGATAATGTGTTAGATAATGCAAAAGAACATTAAAAAGGAAAAACAAAATAACCTAAAGCACTAAGAGTCAAATAAAAAAAAGAACCAACCCAGAAACCTGGAAAACGCTAGATCAACTTGAGCAACATTTTTGAGGGGATTACCGATGTCCAAAATTTTTGGAAAAATTCTTGAATGTCTTTCGATGCGTCAAGAAACCACCTATAAAATTTCAGAACCAAATACCTTCAGTAGTATCCAGTAGACTCTATTGAACGGTGAGTCCTCAAACAATCTGTTTTGCTTGATCACTTTGTTCGAAGGTGTTCTTGATCTCCAAAAATTCTAATTTTTTGCGTGAATTATCTTCAATGTATGAAGTTTCAATCTGGAAATTTTTACCACGAAATTACTCCTGTAGAAGTTTCAAGAAATTTGACAATATTCTAGACCGAATCTGCAGATAAAACTTGAATGATGTGTTTGAAGGTTCTAATGAACTCTGATTGGGGTGAATTTTGGACTGGATATTACTCTTAGGATGAATATGATATCTAGAGAAAATAAAGTCTAAATACCTTTGTTTGCAATTTTTTTTGAATTTTTTTTATTTTTTTTGCCTTTTTTGTTTTTAAAAAAAATAGTAAACTACCAAGAAAGATTTGAATCTAAATTAAAATTAAAAAAAGAACCTGAAACGATGAATCTTTTGTTAACTAGCTCCGTTGGGGTACCTTGATGGTTTTGTGTGCAAAAACAAGCAAGATTGCTTTTTTCTTTCCAAGAGTCGGGCCAAATCTGATACTAATTGATAGGGAAGCGGTGGCGGGTTAATGAACATTGTTCTTGTTGAAGAATTAAGCCTAAAAAGCTCTAGACTCGATGAAGAACAATATGGAATGAATAGGGAAAGTGGCGGCAATAGCTAGGGTTCTTTAGGGTTTCTTTTAAGTACTGGAAACAAGGTAAGAAACAAGATTAAAACAAGATAAACAAAAGATAAAGGAATTTGAAAATAAAGTAAAATAACCAAGAAATCAAAAGATCTCCCTTATGAAAGTGAATGGTAAAGATGATTGATGGTGTGGATGGATATGTGGAAAATCGATGGATAATATTTTATCGAGCCCTCCTAGTCGCAATGAAAAGGCAAACACTATAATATGGCTCTAACCAACCCTCATAGTCGCAATGAAAAGGCAAATTGGAGTGTGAAGATTAATCTCTCTCACAAGAACTTGAAAGAACTCAAAGAGAAGAAGCTTCGAAG